ARRRGTGAGCTGTYATACTGACATTYTTGTTGATAACAAGATGAAYGTGAAATTTCCTGCAAAGTGGGAGTCAAAAGRAGCCTACTTGTAGCCATGCTATAAATCTGAACAAAAATGAGAGGAAGAGGGAAAATCTGCTATTAASTGAGAGATCAATCTCTCTTAAAATCTTTAATTCAAAGCCTGCTTACCCTGCTGCAGCCATCTCTCGGCTAGGTAGGCTGAGGGATGTGTCTGAAAGTGAACAGACTTGCAATTTGTTTTAAAAAAGAGGAACCTTAGTTCCTGCCTGCTGGTATTTCAGCACGRGTATTTGACAGGCAGTGGATGGACCCCTGTGCTGTAGCAACATGTGATAAAGGACAAGTCAAAATTAATGATAAGGTGAAGAGGTATAAATAGAGCCTTAAACCAAAAAGGCTCTATGCTCATGTCAGCACATGCTGAATCAGTGTGTGACATCCAGATCACTGAGAGGCCCCATGGTTATTCTCACCTTCATGCAGAACCAGACAGAAATGGGGAAGGTCATTATGATGAACAGGAAAGACAAGATGGTCAAAAGCCACTCACAGACGCCCAGACCAGGAGACTTTACACCTAGGGAGAAACCCAAAGGGACTGTGTTAGAAGATCACTGCTCCCAAAATACTGATATCCTGACAAGTGCCTGCACACATCAGCTTCACTGATGTGAACTTCACTTCATCCAGACTCAGTATAAATGAACCACTTGGCTCTCTCTGGAGTTAAGGATCACTCCCTGCTCCAGATTGCCAGGAATTGTGAGGATGGATGGACAGATTTTGTCCCTGCTTTACCGACAAAAATTGAACCATGCTTCTCTGTGGTTGCTTGACTAGAGAGCAGCYTTTATCTTTAAGAATTTGGGGTACCAAGCAGGGTTGAAAGGCTTGGAATGGGCAACTTGGCTGAGCTGGGGTACCTGAAGATTATGTGGAAAGATAAGCTAAAGACAAAGATTGTAAATAAGAGAGAGCTGTAAACAGGCACAGCCTGAAGTTTTCTTCCCTGTTAAGTAGTCCAGGTTGTTTTGGATTAGGATTTTAGTTGCATCCTAGCTCCCTAATGCAGTGGGATKAAGCCACTGGTGCCAGTGAAATCTCCCTGTGTTCTAAGCAGTCRCCCCAGGGTGCTGGAGGCTGACTGGGGTGGTCAAAGATGAATATTACTTTCTACATCTCTGCAAAGTGACTGTGAGTCATCTTACTTTGGTTGCCCTTTGTTGTGCTCCTGTCTGAAGGAAAAATGGCCTGAAAACAGATGGAGCCAGAGAGTGGACCATGATTTCCAACTGTAAAGTTAGCATCCCTCCAATTTCTAATCCCTTCCAGCCCTTCCATCCCTGTCCCTCTGCCTTTGGAATTCTTTGCAGAACCACCAGATCCTGAGGGAGATTCAGATCTCAGATCCTTGGTGTGATCACTAGAGCTCCTCAGCACTGCTCAATAGCTGTGATCCCTGTAATGGAGGCAGAAAGGGGAAGCTGTGAAAAATGAGTTCCCAGAGAGTCAGGAGTAAGTCTAAACCTTTGTGTCACTCTGGGGTAGCAGAGGTGCTAGCATGGAAGGACACAAATAGTGCTGGCTCTTGTAATACTCATCTGCCATGCCTGTGTTGATACTGGGTCCAAAGAGGCCCAGCTGTATTGCCAAAAGGATCATGATGTTCCCTTTTATTGTGGCAGGTGGGGAATGTGCCTGACAAACATGTGGAGAGGAGCTGCACTTAAAGGTTATCCAGCGGGTGAGCTGCAAGTGTGCACCTCAAGGGCAGGTCTTCCCTGCAGCGAGGTCGTTTGGGCTATGAACTGGCAGTAAGACCAGTGCCATTCATCTTAAGGAGGCCAGGTGAGAAAAGGAAAAGACCAGAGCATGAACAGAACTAGGGAGTAACAAGCTGAAGCATGAAGGATGCTGGGAATGTAAGTGCTTGTATCCAGGTTCACTGCTTTACTGGACGATGCTAGTAAGCCTGTAAAAGCTGGCTGGGAGGCTGGCTGGAGTCTCCCATATCCTGTCCTGAGGATAWCCATGTCTGTGCAAAGTGGGTGTAATGACACCATGCAGAGAGCAGTCACACTGTGACCCATGCAGCACCAAAGAGCCYCCAGTTTTCCAACCCCTTCCCTTCTTTAAGCCATACCTTCCTCTTGCTGCTCGCTGTCCAGCAATGCCATTGCCTCCATTTCTTCYTCGGACACCACATCATCCACATCCACCACCGTGGAGGTGTGCACCCTACCATCAGCCCCTGCGGTGCTCTTGGTCTCCTTGGCTTTCTCCTGCTTTGCATCTCCCTTTCTTTTGCCAGCTTCTTTGCTGCTCTCCCTCTTCTCTCGTTTGCTCTGCGTGGCTGGGGACTCTCTGCGTCTTCTGTGAGACTCCCKGGAAGAGCTCCGAGACCTCTTATCCATCCTCATCTGTGCCGAGGAGCACGCGGCTGACTGGGGAGTAGAATGAGTACGTGCTTGAATTTATTGCTGCAGGCAGGAAAAGCAAGCAGGGGAGGAGAGAAGGGAGGTGTCATATCAAGGAGGCTCATTTCAAGTTCATCACAGCCTTGTCAGGCATAATGGACAGTGAAGTGAGCAAGCTGTTTCCAGCTGCTCTGCTCTCATCATGCACTGCTGTGGAGATGGGAAGGAAAGTTAGACCCGTGCAGAGTGGACCCAGGAGGATATTGTATTTGCATCTTCCTGCTTTTGGAAATAAAATACAAACAGAAGCGCTCAGGTGATTTTCAGTCCATAGCTTCTGCAAAGCTGTTGAAAAGTAACCTAAAAGCAACTGTCAGGCATGTGACCCCAAAGGTATCAAATGGTGAGAGCGGCCCAGAGTAGATACCAGGATGAAAAACCTTCACTGGTGAGACCAGTGGCTTACTCAGGAGTGTTTGGAAGAGGGGTGTTGTGGAGAATGTCTGGGTGAGTACCATCTCACACTGCTCTGCTCTCCAGAGGTCCCTTGACTGGCACCTTGGGAAGGGACCTTGGCAGCAAACCCCATCTCTCTAGGGCCACATTTTAGCAGGGAGGAAAAGTAACTGGTCCCGGTTTTACTGAATGGGTGCAAAGCATGGCAGCCATCACAGTTATGTCCAAGTTGAATCTAAATTGCCAAAAGAGTCWAAACACTACCCTAGTTTTCCACAGYAGGAGCATGGCAGAGYAAACATAGAAACTTTCTGKTTTTGTGCTGCTCAGCCTGTGTTGACRTCTGCAGAAACCCATGAAATAAACACTTTTAAAGCCACTGACTATTAAAGAAACAAGCACCTGGCTAGAAATCACACTACAGCAAGACACAGCTGGGACATAAAGCAGGATAGGGCTGAGCTCAGGGATTCCAGTCTCTGSTGTGGAGGAGTGGCTGAAGGGAGCTGGGAAGCCAGCTSGGGGAGTGCTGTTCTTGTTTTYTCACAGATTCCTGTTTTATTGGAGYSTTGTGATCCACCTGGAGTCAGGATATTGCAGGCAGGGAGGGCAGGAGCACCAGCTGCCTGCTTTCTCTGCTGTGCTGGCTGCCTTGTCAGCAGGTCACCAGGGAAGTGATGGATGGAGAGGGCTAAAGGCAGAGAAAAGTTGGGTGTAAATGGCCTGTAATTAATAAATTTATACAGTGTATATTTTTTGGAAGTGTTCCAGAAACCTTTTCCACTTGGTATTGTCACTTGGACAACATGGGAATGGCAGAGATGGTCTCCAGCTGCTCAAAAGGCAGGTGGTGTTTTAAGCAGCAACAGCAGAAAACAGCTTAGGTCTGGTTTTGGATTTCAGTTGGTATTTTGTCAAAAGGACCAYGGCATATTTAACACCTCCAAGCCTGCAACATGCTGGTTTTGTCTGAGGTTTTATTTAACCGGTGGGTCCTGACTCCACCGTGCCTGGAAGATGTTTTTGGCTGCAGTCTTTTGAAATGGGGAGATGCTTTGAGAGCATATGCTGATGGGTTTGCAACCTTTACTGTCCCAAAAGCTGCAGGCTCAGCTCCCATTTTAATCTGAAAAGTATTCCTGTTTGGAAGTCAGCTGTACACTTGAGGGGATTTCTCAGTGTCTGTGAGCCCAAAAGAAATACCCATTGCAACCCCACTTTACCACACTTCGTGACCTCTGGAAAGTCACTCAGAATCTCTCAGCGTCTCCACTGTGGATTTTCCTCTCAGGACTAAAAGAATAGAAGACTCCTCTTGATAACCACATCTGAGTTTAAATATTGTTACGCTGAAGGAACTGGTCCTATTTTGTATGTGGCTCTTTTGTTTTTGCACCTCCACTGTGGATTTTCCTTAGAGAAGACTAAATATAAATAGTCCTTAGAAGACTCCTCTTCATAACATTAGGACATGGAGGTTCTGGAGCAAATCCAGAGAAGGGCAATGGAGCTGGGGAAGGGTCTGRAGCACAAGTTTGATGAGGAGTGGCTGAGAGAGCTCAGCCTGGAAAAAAAGGCTCAGGGGAGACCTCTCTCTACAACCACTCCACAGGAGGATGCTGCCAGGGGGCATCAGGCTTTTCCTCCAGTCRGAGAAAGGACAAGGAGACAAAGTCTCGAGCTCCACCAGGGTAGGTTTAGGTTGGACTAGGGAGGCATTTCTTCACTCTGAGGAGCGATTAGCCATTGGAACAGGCTGCCCAAGGAGGTGGCGGCACCACCGCCCTGAAGGTGTTTAAGGAAACACAGGACGTAGCATTCAGTGTGCTCTGGTCTGGCTGACTGACATGGTGGTGTTTGGTGATAGGCTGGACTCGATAATCTGAGAGATCTTTTCCAACCCGTTTTTGGGTTTTTTGGGGTTTTTTTTTTTGGTTGTTTGTTTTTTTTTGTTTTTTTTCTTTTAAGAAGGCAGGGGCCACATCTCCCTGCCGGCCCTCCCCAGCCCCAAGGCAGCGGGAAGCCCGTCCGGCCCGACCACTGCAAACGCTGAGGGCGCTGGCGGCCGCTCCCCTCAGGCAGGCTAAGATGGCGGCCCCGCCCCGCCCCGCCCCACCCTCGCGGCCCGGAAAGGCGGGAAAGGCGGCGCGCAGGCGCACGGGGCTGTGGAGCCATGGCGCTGTGCGTGTGAGGTGCCGGGGCTGACCCGGCATGGCGTTGAGGGGAACGGGGATGGCCGCGGGGGACGGAGACACCGGGAGGCTGAGGGGCGAACCCCCGCGTTTGGGGTCACAGGGGTTTCTGCGAGGAGCACGGATCCCCGGGGGTGGGTGGGGTGCCCTCGAGCAGCAGTATGGACGCGCAGGGTGGCTGGAGTGGCAAGGATTGTGGAGGGCAGGGGTTTAGGAGCGCACTAAACTCTAGGGGTACTGGCAAGTGAATACTGGGGTTGTTGGTGAACCTGCTTTTAGCTCCCACTTGCCAGCTTTTAGCTGCTARCTGGGAAAAAGTCAAAGTTCCAAGTGATTCTAAGCAGGTGTGGTACAAGTTGTTATCTGCTTGTGTTCCCCTTTAGCACACAGGCGTCAAAGCAGGCACAGCTGATGGAGGTGCTGAAGAAGGAGGTGAGGGCGATGCTGATAGCTGCCAAAGCGGGCTTGACKCCAGAGCAGCTGGAGGAGCAGTACATGGCCATGGTCTGCAAACCTCTCCCTCTGCACGACCTGGGCTTCCAGTCCACCTTGGAGCTGGTGACAAAAATGCCYGAAGTTGTCCGAGTCTGTTCTTCTAAGAACGGCACTTTGATCCTCAGAGGTGAGATTTTGTTTCCGAATGGGTGGAGGAGTTGTTTGGAACCTCATACTGGTGTGATGTGTTCAGATATGCAGAGCTGTATGTCACCTATGTGTCAATCTATTTCTCATACAGCTCTGGGTAATCTTTTTCTTTGATACTTCTTGTATTTAGACCTKCCTTTTAACACTTTCCTGTTCTTCCCTCCTGAAAAAAATCACCCAGGCTTTTAGTTATTTTTTCACACTTTTGTATTCTGCGCTTAGTTTAAAAACTGGGGTCACATTTCCTATGGGTACACTAGAACTGGTAAGCATCACTTTTCCTATAAATGCAGACTACAGAAGGAACCAAAACCAGGGATGGGGCCTCTCGAGAGAAGCTGTGAATATTTCCCTACCTGATCCCATAGAAAGCTTAACCTGTATCAAAGAACATTTTTCTTTTTCTTTGAGGAGGAGTTGTCAAAACAGTTGCAAAGATTTGATTGCAAAGGGTGAAATGGTTGGRGGCTTTTTGAGTGCTACAGTAAGACAATAAAAAGTTTTTTAGAAGCRTAGAAAACACCTAGCTGCTCTCTAGGGAGATCTTTCCTGGGTAGGAGGTGCTCTGCAGTGAGTTTACTGCTATTCTGCTTTCCCAGCAAAACTCTTAGCAGCCTGGTTTTTGTTTATGATCCTGCACCCAGAAGTTTGACCTGCCTTCCTACCTGGTCTGAATTTCTAAGGGTGAGGATGCAAACTGGTTGCTGGCTTTTAGAAACAATTCAGTCCAAAGGGAGAGGTTTCTGGAAATCAGCCAGCACGAGACCACTGCTTCTGGGAAGTGTGGGGAGAAGAGGAGAGAAAGGAACGAAGAGGAGCTTTGTCAGTTTAGAGCTTTTAATGGTTCATTGTGCTGCTTGTCTTTTTATTTCTTTCTGTTGTAGCCATTGCAGATGACTCCACCAAAGGGATTGCCAAGCTGGTTGCCAACCAGAAAGTGAAGACACGTACTAAGGCAACAAAGAAAGCTGCTATGAAGGCAAATGCTRTTTCTTCCACTAAGAACTCTAAGAATTCACGGAGTTTCCAAACACTGAGTGCCAGGACTCCCATCCTGCCAGCGACGGTGAAGGCTGAGCTGCAGGACCTGCTGAGTTCCTCACCACTTCTGCTCATGGACTTGGACAAGGCCTTCCTCAGACGCTTTGGCCGGGCATTCCAGTACAGGCAGTACGGATTTTTATCCATGTTTGAAGCCCTCAGAAGCATGTCTGATTCCATTGTGGTTGAGCAGACAAAGGCAGGCTCCTTGCTGGTCCTGAGGAAGTACTGGGCAAGCAGGGTAGAACAGGAAGAGCTGCCCCAGCGTGAGGCTCTGGAGGAAGAGGTGCCTCACGGAGAGGCTCAAGARGAAGAGATGCCTCAGGGTGAGGAATGGGAAGAAGAGATGCCCCATGGTGAGGGACAGGAAGAAGAGATGCCTCAGGGTGAGGGACATGAAGAAGAGATGCCCCATGGTGAGGAACAGGAAGAAGAGATGCCCCATGGTGAGGAACAGGAAGAAGAGATGCCTCAGGATGAGGAACAGGAAGAGGAGATGCTGCAAGGTGAGGTGGTGTGTTTAACTAAAAGCACATAGCTCTTACAAGCTCTGTGGCCAAGCAGCTGCCTTTCAAGTCTCTGTTGCTGCATTTCCAGGTGCTGTAGAAGTCCTGATTCCCCTGGGCTTTAGCACAGTTGTGTGTGCAGAARCAGCTGTCACAAGGCAGTTGTCTTGGTAGCAGAGAATTTAACTGGAAGGTTTTGACACGTTGCCACTGTTTTTTGTTGTGAGGTAAAAGAAAAGATGATCAGCCCATTCAGAGGATGGACTTGCTGAATGTGTGTGTAGGACTGGAATTTCTAGTCATTCCAGGCAATAGGTAAAAAAACTATCAGAAGGGTCTTGTGCACGCCTGCTCTGCAGGCTGGTAAAGCCTTTGCCATACACCTTTTGAGACCAAAGATTTAACACTGGCCTGAAAGGGTCAGCTGCAGTGTTCCACAAAAGAGACAGGACTGTAGATGCCCTCAGCGTTCCCATAAAACCCATGGCAGAGGGGGGATAATCACATACATTTCCTGCCAAATTCATAGCTTTTCCAGGGAAAATTAATTTTAGCATTATTCTAGCAATGGACTTTAACCTTAGCTTGCTTATGACAGTGTGATTTTTGCTCTAACTTCCTAATACAGTGAATCCTCATGAACTTGGTGGCTGTCAATGCTACAAGAAGTGAGCAAACAGTGCCTTCTGACTTTCATTTTTTAATATTTTCCCTTACTGCTTAATATGCAGCACTGCATCAGTCCAACAGAGAATAATAGCCAAATTATTGTCTTTGCAGAAGCATCTGCAGCTGAGATGCCTCCTTTGGAACCCATTTGTGAGACAGAGAGTTTCTACCAGACAGTGTTTCTGAAGGATTTGGAGCCAGTGCAAACACAAGCAGGTGATCATCTCAAGCGAGTAAGTGGCTGGACGAATGAGCTGTAGATTTTTCATGTTGTATTCTGAGGGGTGATACTCTTTTTGCTGTCTTTGTTTCTGTTGAGTTTACATTGTTGATGCACTGCTGCTTCAAAAAACTTTTGTACCTGTTTRAGATGACTCTAGAAGTGACCAGAGTCATATTGACCGGCTGTATGACTCTATGTGCCATCCAAACTCAGTCTTTTTCTGGTCTCCTTGTGGTCTTGAGGTCTGTTAGATCATCCATGGCCAGTTAAGTGTTATCTTGGTGGCTTACGAGAGTGGTGATACCTTTTGATATAGTTACTTGTAACTGGATTTTAATAACTTTGTTGTGAGAGAAGCTGTGTGAAATTTCCCCTGCTGCTGTTGACAGGGTTTCAGTGTCAGCCACCAGAGCTGGGGAATGTTCCTCAGTGTACCTGATTCCTGCAGTCTCAAGTATGCTATTTGGTAGGAAATTATAATTGTTTTGTTTTGTTGAGCACTGTATTTTTAGAAAGGGATGGAGAAGAGGGTGCAAAGGCTCTGAGCTGCCAAATCTTATTGGGAGAATTTGCTTGTCCCTCCTTCATTTTTTTTTTCTTTTGAGCATCTTTAGGCCTTGTTTTTCTCAGGAAAATCCTTTTACTAAGAGTTGTTTCCTCTGCCAAGCTTGTCTTGTGGCTATATACAGCTGTACAATTGGAGCTTATAGGTAGGGAAAAAATCCCAAGGGTTCTTCCTTACTTTGGTGTTTTGCATATTACTGAGCTTGGAAGCTGGGAACTGAGTTGGACTTTGTTCAGCACTTGATAAAACATACCCTTGAGAGCTCTTTGGCAGGCTGTTCTGGTCCTTTAAGAAAATTTTAGTTTAGGGTGATTGAGGTCCAAAGGGAACTCCCCTGGCTCAAACCACAAGTCTGCTTGTGTGAAGGCTATAGAAGGGGGAATATGGTCCAGGTAGCCCCAGATTTCTGTTCCTCAGTATTGCAGAGGGAACCCATTTAGAGATCCTGGCAAGACAAGGCTTGGAAGATGTTTGTACAACTACTACTTGTTGTGAAACACCAAGTTTGCTTTTTGTTTTAAAAATGCTCTAAAGAGGAGGAAAGCAGTTTGGGATGTGCTAGTGTGGGTGTGCAATGGGCATTTGTTCGTCAAGATGCTGCAGGGTAGAGGGGGAAGATGCCACCTGATCCCTGCCCTGCTGCCCGGTATCTGGAGACTAATCCTGGAATTGTTTTCAGGGTCAGAAAAACAAGAGCTGGGTCCAACTGCTCCATTCCGAGAAGGATAAAAAGTACAGAGCTACTGCTCTCTCTTGTTGCCCTGACAGAAGGAAAAATGTCACCCACACCACTCCTGGCAGCTGCCAGTCCAGCTTGGGGCAAGGAGTCAATCACTCTTATAAATCATACCTCTTGTACAGCCTGGTTTTACATTGTGTACCCTTGCTTTTTCTCTTTATAACTTCATTGCATTTTGTGAGCCTATTTTCAAGTACACGCCCTATAAGTATTTCAAAGAAATGTCTGTTGTCTCTAGCAATGTGTGAGCTAGACTATAAAGCTCATGTGACCTYTTAATAGTCTGATATGAAGAGCATTCTCAGAGCAAAGTTGTCCCTTAGAAATGCCTCCATTCACAGGCACTACACAGAGGAAATTCATGAAATTGTAAGTGTTTTTTTATCAGCTAATGCTGCTTCTCAGGCCACAATTCCCCCAGTTGATCTTTAACTCAAAAATGTTCATTSTCTGTTTAACTCAAATGTTTTAGTCAAAATWTTTAGCTCCTAAAGATTGAAGGGARTGAGGCTTTAGTCAGTCTKCARAAGGAGAGACCAGGGGGAGTGGTCACAGCACCAAGCGTGCCAGAACTCAAGAAACATTTGGACAGCACTCTCAGATGTGTGGTGGGATTCTTGGGGTGGCCYTRTGCAGGCCTAKGAGCTGGACTTTGGTGATTCTTATGGGTGCCTTGCAACTCAGAATATTCTGTGATTCTATGATCTGCACCTTTAGAAAGTGATTAGGACRTTAAGCCCTATAAGACGTAAAACCCCATTGTTTGCCATTGAATTTAGCCATATAAGCAATGGGGAATGTGCTGGAATATGAATTGCCCACGCCTTGCCTGATGTATGATGCAGTGATAATTTGTACTGTGTTCACAATGACTAAAATTGAAGTATTTTTGATTTGATCATGGGAAAAGTGCTGCCTGCTGGCACACAAGAAAGCTCTTGAGGCAGTGAAAATAGCTGATGTATGATTAACATTCCCATCCTTACTACTTCAAGTGAAATAATGTTTCCAGGAGTTAGAATAAYGAAAAATTGAAAGCTGTGCTGACAGTTCACTTACACAAATTTGTCTAGAATGGGAAAAGAACAGAATTTGTAGATTTTGTTTGGTTTTTTTCTTTGGTAAGTAGCCTAATGTGAAAGTGGGATGCATTYATGTCTTCTGTCACTTCTGAATAATTTTCAGTAGTTTTGCTGGTTCAAKCATGTACTTTTTTATGGTCATGGAACACAGAAATAACACCTTTCAATAAAATCCAGCAAAGAAGTGGATTGGGTTTGGAGTTTGGTTTTGTTTTGCTTTTTTAGCATTAGCCATTCACTACTTTTRTCTAAATATGTGATGTGACTTCWGTTTCTCTCCTTTATTCCTTGCAGSAATATGAGCAAGRTATTTTTGTTGCACCCCTCTTTACACTGCAGGGAAGAAAGAAAGTGTGAGAATGATTGTTTCTATCACAGGGAGAACATTCATCCCAGTTTGTCCAGTTTGTTGGGATTCTGTGATATTCAGTTATTCACAARTTCCAGGGAAAGCAGGACTATTTTTAAAATTAATGGAAAGGCCAATTATATGTGTTCAGTGCATGATGAGACACCTGAGTGCCACCTCCCACTTCTCCCTTTGTAGCATCAAGGTTTTGAGCAGTTTCCACCGACTCCAGAAATCCCTCCAGATGCTGTTCAGGACAGAAGCCTTTGCAGTTTGCCACCTCTGAAGAAAGGGTGCATGGTGGGAGTCATTGTGGAATTCATCGTCTCTCCTAGCCAGTTCTACATCCACATCTGCTGCAAGGAAGCATCCTATAAACTGCAGGATCTGATGTTTGAGATGAGGTGGGAACATGCTATGTGAGTGCAGTGTGTGTTTGTGCTGAGGGAACAGGGCACCCAGCTCTGGCTAACCCTAACCCTAACCACTGCTGCCTTCTTTCCTTGGTACAGAGATGCTGGTGCTGTCCAGAAACACTACTCAATGCTTCTCCATTCCCTTTAAAGAGCAAGCAGTAAAATAGGTCACTAGCAGTTGCTGTAGTTTATCCTAGCAGTTCTGAGCTTTACAAGCCTGGACAGGTTGTGGAAGGGAGCTTGAAGGGTTCCTTTGTCTTGTCTCTGCAACTGTTGCTAATGTGCTCAATTAAAGCTTTTACTCCCACCTCCAACACTGCACCTGTGCCAGTACTCCARAACCTGGTTCGTGAGAAACAGTGGTGTGTAGAGGTAGTGGTAAAAAGGTTATGATTGGAATGACTGTTTTTAACCCGATTAATCCCCATTAATTAACTTTCATTGGACCCCAGGAGTATCATTCAAATGTAAAAGTTTGGGTTTGCAATTTTATTGCAATTTCACTTTTAAGTGTGGCAGAGCAGAGATATAAMGGGTTTATTAAAGCAACTCTTGAAAATCCATGTCATGGGGACTTTGAAAAGTTGGGATTCTTTTGGTGCCCCATAGATTTCTCCTTGTTCATCTCCTGCATCCGACTAAATGCAGTTTCTCACTGTGATCTTTTATAGACACGTTTACTCACATAAAGTTGCTTCTGATAAATACATCATGCCTGAGTCTGCAGTGCAGCCTGGGCAGCTCTGCTGTGTCATGGTCTCCAAGTGGTGGTACCGAGTGATCATCCACCGTGTGATCAATGAGCAGGAAGTGGARGTGTTCTGCGCAGACTACGGACACCTCCAAATTGTCCAGAAGTCTTGGCTGAGATTCCTCAAGTGAGTAAATTACGCATGGGCAGCAGAGTTGCAGAACAGCCAAGGTTGGATGGCTTCTAAAGGTCATCCTGTCCAAGCTCCCTGCTTAAATGGGACTGCCTAGAACAGGCTGCCTAGGACCATGCTGAGATGGTTTTTGAATGTTTCCATAACCTYTCTGGACAACCTGTTCCAGTGCTTGGTCAAAATACACCACCSTCCTGGTAAAAATGACACTTTCCAATGGGTCCACACTGTGCTGATGCATGGTGTTGTTCTTCTCCAAGKGCAGGAGTTTGTTGAACTTTGTAAGGTTCCTGTCTGCCCATTTCCCTATCCTGTTGAGATCTGTCTGGATGGCCTTGTCCCTCAGGGCATCAGCCACTCCTGCCAGTTTTGTGTCATCAGCAGACTGAGGGTATACTCTCCCCCATCACCCAGCTCAATAATGAAGACATTAAACAATGCTGGACCCAGCACTGGCCCCTGGGGAATACTGCTAAATCCTTTCCTGTGTCTGCCTTCACTCCTCAGACTGTCCTCTTGCTGCTTTCTCTGTCACCTCAGGGCAAGCTCCCTAATCCTGCATCCTSGGTTCCATGAGTGGATATACACATTTTCCTGAAAGCACATCCAAGTGGGATCTATTTGCAGTGTTAGGGGTGTTTATTCTCTGCAGTTAAGCACATTTTTCCATATTTGTGTCTTCCTCCACATTTGCCTTTCCTTGTGCYTGGTCATTGGCATTCTTTGGTTCAAAAGTCATGGCTCTCTGTCTGTAACTTTGTCTCCACAAGGGGGTTTGATGAGAAGGTGTTTGGGCCAGGGAATGTGTAAGGGACCAGTTATTGCTGTTTCTGCTGTGCCTATTCTCTGGCTGTGGAGTGCTTTCTGAAGCTTCTGTTGGGTTTTAGTCAGAAGTGCACAATCCAGTGTATGCTTCTGTATTCCTAAACTGATAGTAAAACACAGAAGAGGAGGAAGTTCCTGCTAACTTTTCCATGTTTTTTTTCTGTAATGGCTTTGCTTTGTATTTCAGGTGGCGCTACTTGAAGCTCCCAGCTCAGGCCATCCCGTGTTCTTTGGCATGGGTAAAACCTGTGGAGGTACGTGTTCATATCCAGTTTTTTTAATTGGCACATGTGCAGGAGTTGTCAAACAGAGGTTGTCTTTTTCTCCTGCTAAGGGTAAACATTTGGATGAGAGTGCACTGGGGAAGTCTCTGCTCTACAATCATCCTTCCACTGCTTTCCTTACCATCAGAACATTCTTGCTTATATTCTTGCAGAAACAGATGGCTACTGTTAAGCAATACAACAAACTTGCTCCTTCCCCTGGCAGTAGTTCCCCAATGTACTTCTGAAACCTTAGTAGCTCCAGTTCTCTTTTAAAAAATTCTTCTGTGACAGAGCTTTAAGTGAGTTGGTTTGATGCAGTTAGCACAGCCAGGGAGTTACTGAGGTCATAAGAAGGTTCCTCTGTGCTGGGGAAACCTTGGTCAAGAAGCCTGAGAAGTACAAGCTCTGAAGGAAAGCATGTGAGCAGAGTTGCTGCCTGTGTGTTTTTAAAGATGCTGCTTTAAAAAAGTTATTTCTCCTGGGTTTTGAGGGTTAATCACAGTTTTCTTTGCGGTGAGTCTTTGGAACTTCTTMATAACTTTCAATACTTTTAATGTTTTTAAAGTCTTGTGATTCCAGGAATTRAAAAAAAAATGAAAAAGAAAACCACCAAACAAATGTATTTTAGGTAGTTGAGATAAAGGCACTGGTGAATGCCTTTGAATTGTGTTTAGAAGTAGGTATTTAGGGTGAAAGGGTATTCCCAGTGGGACCAGCATTGCAGACCTTAGGGTAGTTTGGTTTAGTTTCATGCTGGGAGGCTTGCCTGCCTGACTTTCCTGTATTTGTCACTTTTCTGGCCTAGCTCAGTTGCTTTTCAACAAGTGCCCTCCACAAGGAAAAGTCTCAGGGGGTGGATATTTGTCTATTTATTGTAACTTTATGTTGTGTCTTCTTCAGGGTACGTGGTCCACTGCAGCAATTCTCCTGTTCAAGCATCTCTGTCGCTTCAAGGAACTTGTGGGCATTGTGCATAAATATGTGAATGGTGTTCTGTACCTCTTCCTGTGTGACACATCCACCAAGGAGGATATCTACTTCCACTCTGTCTTGAGGGATATGGGATATGCTGACTTGTGCGAAGAGAACATTCCTTCCCRGGTAAGGAGGGAGGCATGAGCTACTGAAAGGAAAGGCAAGGGAAGGATCCTTGTTTGGGTGCCTGTARTAGGAAGATTTTTACCTTGAAGCGAGTGGTTTTATGAAGAGCAAAACTGGTATTCCCTGCTTTCCTGTAGCTTATCCTTTTGTGACTGCATTCCACAGTGTCTGACTCGATGGTGAGAGCTTGCTTTTTGGCTAAGGTGGGATCTGATAATACAGCAGAGATGTTCTGCTTAGTAAAACAAATTATTTTCAGCCTGTCTTCTAGTAATGGATTAAAAGGTAATATGGAAGTAGTCTTGGTTTAAAAACTCATTCTTTGCCAGTGAAATGTGCAGTGGTGGACAGTGTAACCATGGTAGATTGCCTGTTGTGCCTGGATAGACACGCTAGTTGTAAGCCAGAGCATTTTGCTTCACGCTTACCTGTGTCATTATTTGCATGTCTCAACTCAGTTTCAGTAAGAACTGTGTGGATTATGCAAACCCTTGGAAAGGTAATGCCACAATTTTATATTTCAGCAGAAAGCTGGGCTTTATGGCCTGGAGTRCTTCTGTCTGTTGTTTGATTCAGCAGACACAGAATGCATGTTTTGGCGGGATTGGATCCTACGATGGTATTTTTGCATGTGTAGGTGCAGTTTTGGGGGAGAGGGTCGTTGCTGAGAAATGTTGCTGCTGGCAGAAGAGGAGTTGATTTTCATAAGGCCATTCCTGCAAGATTTTGGAGCTAACTCTTGGGTGTTGTAGAGCTTCATAAAACCTGTTAGAGATTTGCTGAATCCTTTTTATTCTTTGCGGTAGTTACAACACAGGGTTTTTACTATAGTGGTGTGGTTTTTATTTGTCCTAGGAATTTGAAGAACTGAATCCTTCGGCCTTGTATATTCAGCCTAGTGGGAAGCAGGAGAATGCTGAAGGGGTAGAGCCAGACCTTCGCCTGCAGCAGGAATCTTCCTCAGGCAGGGAAACAGCAGCCTCAAAGCTGAATGGRGCTGAGCTGTGTGACCAGGTGAGAGTTTGGCACAGCTGTTTTTCCATGAAATCAGCTCCATGGCTCAGCAGATGTGTTTTGGTTTAGTCCCGTGGAGTTGGTTTTCTGCATTTATAAGAAGCAAGCACAAACTTAATATGAAAATTGTTATTTATGTGGGCCATAAATACCTTCCTAGCTGCCTGTCCTATGATACCTTCAGGGAGTCTGTGTGCTCTCTATAACCTCGCATGTATGCACCATTGTTTTTCAGTTTGAGAATGGGCTCTGAGAACTCAGACCAGTACTGGTTTCTTGTGATCAGTTTGACTTGGCACTGCCATGCTTTTGCAGCCCTGGGAGCCAGGAAGTGTGTGTTTTCCTCTTACATCTCTGRGATTTGGCAAAGGATGTGTAATAACTCGGCGTAGCCTTTAAATGTGAGAAAAGACCAGAATGAGAGGTGAATATTTGCATTAAGGGTCTTGCACATCCTAAACTGACCTGAAAGGAATTGATTTGCAGTCCTTGTTGTTGSAGGGGATAAGCTTATGTACAACAAGAGATTTATTAAAAAGTTAACTCTAAAGGTGAATGCATATGTGTATGCTTTACACCTTGGGTTTCAGAGCATGTTGAAAGAGGAACCCTTGGCTATTTAACAGTTTGATTAATTGCTGATCAGAGAGGTTAAGCAAGGAGTAAACCCCAGGTCTTGAGTGAGGTCTAGAGTAGTACCAGGAACRCTTGTCTACAGGTGATTCTCTCTCCTTTTCTGTCTTATTTGAATTGTAGTGTTTTCATGAGACATTTTGCTACAGGGACCAAAGCCCTTTTCAAATAAATGTCAGCTGTTGAGGTGTTCAGCTGTGGGCCTGCTCTGGGGCTGTGTTTCTGACATTGCCCCGAAATAAGAGGAAAAGCAAGTGTAATGCTAGTAACTTGTAAATTAGTAATTTTCTCTAGGTTTTGGTTTAGCTAGCTGGGTTTCTGTGCTAGAGAAACTGTGTAAGCTGTGTGTAAGCTTGGATATTAATGTCCTTGCTCTGTCGATTTATCATATGAACTAAAAGACACAAACCATCATCTTTATGTGTTTGGAAGAWGGTAATGTGAGGAAGACTGCAAATCTGAGTTTGTGTTTTACATGCAGGAATCTGGAGAGTTCCTCACMTAGCTGACTAAAGCAAGATGCATAAATGTCAGACATGGCTAGTGATTTGAAGGTTAGAGGAATGTAAATGCATCCTGTCACTCAGKAAGAATGGTGTGGGTGGCAAGAAGAGATAAAAATCATCTTTTAACCTTGTTCTTGTCCTAACACTCATTTTTTACTGCATATTAAGCAGAGGTTTTCAGTGGGCTGCTAGTATCCAGCTGAGCAGTTGGCTAATTGGGCTGCTAGTGATGCCTGTCTTGGCATTCTGTCAGCACTGAATTCCTGCTGCCCAGCCATGTAGCTGTCCTGGCTGCTGCAGGAGCTCCTCACAGCCTCCTCATGCCCTGACAACAGAAGCAACCTGGAGAGCAAGGACCCAGTTTTTGAACAGCTGTGGTTGAATTGCTGCTTGTCTGTCATTTCACTAGTTTTCYCCTCCTTACTGAGTTAAAAAAATACAAACATTAGCTCTAGTCTGTGGTGACACATGGGTGAGCATCCCTGAAATGTAAATTTAATTTGAATTCTTAGGCAAAAATGCAGAGGGGCTTCCTCTGACTCAGCTCCTGCCTCCTTGCAGAAACTCCCTCTGTCATTGACATCACTGGTTCTGCGTGGGGCTGCTGAGAGATGAGGCAGCTGTTAATTCTTTGCTAAGAGAGGGTGCYTTGTGTCTTGCAATAATCTATGGTTCTTTCCAGCTTGCTGTGCAGGAAAAGCTGCCCATTGGCCAAGGGAACTAGGGGATTATTGTTGTGTAGTCTTGTTGTTGTGGTTTTTTAATTATCCATTTGCTGACCTTCCACTTCTTCATAAATTTTGAAAGATAATTAGGATCAGGGCAGTTAATGAGCTGAGTGTGYACTAATTGCAGCCTCTCTCGATTTTTTTACATACATTTGCAGTCACCTCATTCTCTTGGMGAGTCCTCAATGCCTGCTGTCATACTCAAGTCTGTAGAAGACCTTTACACTTCCTTTGTTTTCTCCAGGCAACCAGCAGCAATGAGGCAAGATGATGCAGATCAGAAAGTTTTTCCAGCAACGCCCAACTTTATGAAGCTGTACATCCCACTGTTGTACTCATGGCAGTACCATTCATGCTTGACCCCCTTAGCAGTATGGATGGATTTGTCAGTCAAAAACTGACTGACAGAAAGCTGAGGAGTCAGTCACTGTTCTATGAGTTTTGCAGTCCCTCTTGGGTTTCCTAGGGCTCTTGCTGCTGGAACAGATGGAAATRTTGGTGTTTCTGTGGGCTGGAGATGCCACAATAATAAATAGCTGGATGCAGTGCCCAGTGTGACCTTTGTGCAGCAAAATGGAATTCTAATTGTTTAATGGGAACAAATGAATTGAGGGTTAGTTCTCTCGTTGTTGGATTTTGTTCCCTTTTCTGGACTTGCTGCTGCTTGCATGCAGAAGTATTTGTTTCTCCACTCCAGGATTCATTCCATACTGAGTCTCCCAGTCTCTCAACCATAAGGAACTAAAGTATTTTGTAAACCCTGTGAGGTCCCTCTGTAGGTGTTTGTCTTCCATCTTCCAACTGATGGAAGAATTTACAACACCCTTAGGAGAGCTGCTCARTTTACAAGGTGGATTAAATGACTTGCCAAAGGTAGTGGCTGTTTATGCCTTGGAACACTCTCTCTGGAGTTTCCTAGATGTGAGCTACTGAATTAATGTGTGATTTCCCACCTCTGGGGAAGTGGAGRTGGAGCAGCAGGAGCAGAGGGAGAGAGGCCCTTGGATTCTATACCATGTCAGACTCATCAAGTAGGTGTGCAGTAGCAATTCCTCTCGCCATGACCTTGTGAGGTCCAGGCAAAAGGGATTTCAGTCTAAACTGGAGCACTTGGATTTGCCAGCGTAGATTTGATCTTTGTTTTCTGTGTCCCTCTTTATGCAGATGAAGAAAACATGAAGACCAAGACCTTCCCGGGAGTCTCGTGGTCGACCTCTGTGGTGCTCTGGGCTGTGTGACCAAGAGCCACCTCAGGAACTGTGTCCTTCCTGCCCTGCTCTCTGCAGTGCTGGCAGCTTCATGATCGGCCACTTCTCGTGCCTAMTTCCAGTGGCTCCCCAGCCTGAGAAGGAAGGTGTGATAAGAGGGGAGAYGCTGGAGCTGCTGCCAAGGAGGGCTGTCTGGGGCAGCACAGGCTCTCTGTATGACTGTGCTGTCAGGGTTTTTTTGTTCAGAAATGTTTAATCCCTTGAAAAAAACTGGAGTGTGATGCCTCGGGTGTGCCCAGCATGTGTGATAAATGTTAGTTTTRCTTTCAGAAAAATGGTTTGGTTTTGTTGTACCGGTGGTGTACTGAGTTACTGCTCTTTAATATAAYGGTTCAGGAGAACATCCAAGTGTCACATTGTGTTATATATCCTTTAGGTTTAGGAGAGGGAAACTGGCTGCCTATCCCTCCCACCTTCAGAGTATGAGCTGTTTTGACATTGTGTGGGGATGTGGTTTTGGTTCTTAACACAGTGGCTGCTCTACACACTCCTTGCTGTGAAGAGAGCCAAAGAAACCCCCTTCCCCAAGAAGATGCTGTGATTTGTTGGATGTCTTGTATACAAAGTGTCAGGAATCCCACCCTAAAGATACAGAATAAAATCTGTACAGAATCCAGTGAGAGAGAGCCTGAAGCTTGACCATGTTTATGTAGCTCCTTGCCTGTGGCAGGTGATCCTAATGGGTGTTAATGTAGAGAAAAGCTGTGAAAACAGAAGTGCCCTGCTTAGGAATACTGGCATCCACCTGCTTTTCTGGTGCCTGGACTGTTCCTCAATCTTCAGGGGCTTTAAGGGCCATCTGTGCCCATCTGCAGCCATGCCAGAGGTGTCTTTCACTGCAAATCACCAAAAAAATCTCAGTAATACTGGAAGGGGGAAAAGCCCAGCATAAGAAGATAACTGATTGGACTAGTTGATCTTTAAAKYTGTCTTCCAAYCCAAACCATTCTMTAWTTCTTTCACTTTTTAAAAAAATTTCTGCATTTAGGGGTGTGAAACAGCAATAAAAAGAAAATCTGGGTCTGGTTAGAAAGCAGCTGCTAGAAAAGCTAATGAGGGTAATGGAAGGAGAATAGTGAGGAGCAGGGGCTGTCCAACCCTGCAGGGAGGTTCAGGGGTTGCCTGACTTCTCTGGTRCCACATTTGGGCTGGGGCATTCACTGCATATTTTTGTCATCCATCACCGTAATGGAGCTCAGAGCTCCCCCTTTGCTCCAGCACCCTCTTTTGGTTTCAGGGAGGCTTCAGGGTGGGTTGTCCTGAGAARACTCCCAAATCTTCCCCTGTCCCTCCCTGGGCTCGGCAGGGGCCATCGCCTGGAGGAGCTGTCACTGTGTCCCTGCTGCTGCTTGGGTCACTGCTAGATGGCAGCCGAGGCCAGTGCTCTGCGGCTCAGCTCCCTGCAGCCTAAAGCTGCTCTTGTGTGGGGACCTGGGAGGGCGTGGGAGGTGAGGAGCTGAAGAGCATCCTGCTGAGTGGGGAGTGCCCTCATTCCCAGCAGGATCTGCTGCTGTCCCATTCCCTGCCTGGGCTGCAGCAGGTCCCCAGCTGCCTGGGCACGTACGTAACCGGGAACTTTGGGGATGAGTCCCACTGCTGTTTCAACAAATTGGGATTGGGGAGATGCTGTGAGGTCTGAAAGGTGTGGGCACTGAGTGCTTCCATGTGTGCAGAAAGGTAGCGACAAATATGTGGGAGAGAGCCAGCAAATGTTGAACAGTATCCCTGTGATGTGGGTATTCCCAAATATGCCAGTTTGGGTATGGAGGGAGCATATTCTGGGTATGTCACCCTTTTTGCATGCTGGGTACCTGTTGAAGGTGGGCTACAGGGCCTTGCTGTGATCCCATGTACCTTTTCTGATGCTTAACTGATCAGGATTTCTTTTTTCTTGGAGTTTTTGCCATTCACATGTTGTCTGCAAGTGCTTGGTGAGTTTTCCATGCATTTTTAATCGATACAAWAGATGAAGAACTGAACCTGAGCCTGAACCTGAACCTTGCCCAACACCTGGGGGATGGAAAACCCACCTGGAGCTGCTCCCATGTTTCAGGGTGACCTGAGCTGCTCTTCTTAACTCTGTGATGGCATCTCTCTTGCCAGAGCAGTCCAGCTCACATTCCTCATGCCCAGCAGGTTCCTGTTTGTACATTTGTTGCCTAAGGCAGTGGAAAAAAGAGAAAGAYGCCTCAGGGACTGGAAAGTGATGCTGTATTCATGTCCTTGCTCCTGGGCATTGCTGTGTGCCGGTGCCCGGTGAGGAAGGAGAGGTGGCTGTGCCAGGCATTGTGATAAACTTCCTTGTCGATTTTGGGGAAACCAGACAGAGGTGTCTGATGGAAGGAGGAAGGTGCTCTGCTCTACAACCCTGTCCCTGCAGGTATGGTGTCCCTCCTGGTGGGGTTGGAAGTCCCCCTCACTCCTGCTTGTGGAGCCATCTCCATGGGGCACTGGGGAGCCTGGTGTGGGTACCCTTCATCCTGGGGTCCCACTCCTCCAGAGGAGCTTGGAGTGGAGCCACTTTCCCCTCCTTTGCTCCTGGTTTCCCCCTTCCCAAAGATGTGGGACAGCCGTGCTGCCAACAGAGATGATCGACTCAGAGTCCCCTGGGAAAGGACCAAAATGTTTAGAGCAAATTAAAAATTGAAAGGCAGCGCTGCTTTGCAGCTCTCCCTAAAAGCCAGGGTTAAGCAAAACACCAGCGAGGTGTGTGCTCCAGGGATTTGCTAATGGACTTGGGGATGTGAGGGGCCTGGGGTCAGCCCTGGCAGGTGAATGGAGCTGGGGCAGGTGGCTCTTCCACTTCTGGGCTGGTGGGAATGTGCTGGAAATGTGGTGTCCCCATGGCTGGGGCCATGCACGTAAGAGCAGAGCACCTGGACCGCCTCAGGAAGGACCCTGATAGCCATGGTGTGTGGGTGGGTCTGGGAAGGGTGAGGAGCRGTGCTCTGGGCAGGGATTTTGTTTTGGAGATGCATTTATGGAAGAGTTTCTCCTGGCTGCCTGGCCAGGGCAGTAATCGAGTGCTTTGAGTTTTAAACGGGATGTCAGGAAGGATTTGGCTGGCGAGGAGGATGTGAAGTGACAGCTTGCTGTGGATGAGCAAAGTGCTGTGGAGGTGTCCAAACACCTCCTTCCCTCCCTCCCGGTGCTGTGGCCGGGCAGGAGCAGAGCTTGGGGTTCCCAGTGCAAGCTGGGCACACAGGTGGTCCTGGCTGGCCCTGTGGTGGTCACTGGGGCTGTGCCATCTCAGCGAGGGTGACATTTTCCAGATGGATGTACCAGCCCATCCTCCCTGCCCCTCTGCACTTTTGAGTCAAGCCATGCTTTGCAATATGGGCTTCAGCTGAGCAACTCATTTGGGCTTGAAAACCAAAATTGAGTGCTTCTGACCCTAAAAACRTTTGTCTTTTTATTTTTAGATTTCTTTTCAGATAGAAATTGAATCTTTTTCTTGTTTGGGGAGGATAAAAGTGCATTCAACCCTGCATCAGATTGTTTCACTTGACCCACAAGTAAATGCTTTTCTTTCCTCTGACCTGGAAAACTTTCTTTCTCTTTCCATTTGGCAAGAAAAAGGGAAAAGCCAAATCTTGGTACAGGTCACTGCAAAATAAGGTCTGGAGCTGGAGTTTTCAGCCTGAGCACTGTGCCAAGRCCCATCAGCTCTTCCCACCGGTCCCTGGAGTGGCTCCCTTTTCCTTGCAGTAAAAAGCCCTGGTTTTCCCTTGCATTTTCTGGGAGAAAATGACTGTCAGGCATGAGGGCAGCCTGCTGCTTTTCAGATGAGCAGAGATAGGATGGTGCTTGTGCCTTGCTGGTTGTTTGGAGGACTTCCCTGGGCTGGTTTGTGCAAGCTGACCACCACTGCATCTCTGCAGTTTGGGTGGCTTTGGKGGAAGTCCCAAGGCATTCCTGCTGGTGGCAAGGAATGTGAAGGAAACCTGGGAGAGCAATGCTGCTGGAGCTTCCCTCGGGTGGGAAATGGGTCAGTGCTGCCTTTTAGTTGAACCAGGGCTGTGCTCTGGTGCTGGGTGCAAGGATCTGTGYACACCCTGTCCCACAGAAACGGGGCTGTGTCTGTCCTGAGCACTCACTTGCATCCAAGTAAGTTGTCCCATCTTCTCTCCATCTTGGACCTTGCTGCTCAGGTGTTGTTTCCAGTGTCAGTGACACCACCCCAAGCACGGCATGCAACGGAGAGGGAGAAAGGAGGGAGGTCCTTGTGGGTGCCGTGGAATGCCTTGAGCTTGCAGGCAGCAAGAAGAAGGGGGGCAGTTCTGCATCCAAAGCTTAGGGCCAGTTGGAACTGGGACTGCTGCAGGTGAAACCCTTCACTGGTGCTGCTGCAGGAGGTGAAGATTGGCTCCTTCCTATTGACAGTGAGTTGGCAGAGGAGGTGAGGAGGGCTTGGGATGGACGAGGCTCCCCCAGCCCTTGCTGCCCTCGCCCTGCCTGTGAGCGGGCTCCTCATCCCCTCCCTCCTGCCAGGAGGTTTCTGTTCTGATTCAGCTCTTCCAGGGCAGAAGCTGATTGCAGAGGGGTTGCGATCTCACTTGTGCTTTTAATCCCACTGCTGTCAAGCTCCATTAGGAGGTTTGGCATCATCTCGCTACCTCTGGGGCCAGGCYGCTGCTTGCCCAGCCTGAAATGAGGACAAGTCTGGGCTATGCTGGAGCGAGCACGGGCCGGGGAGCCAGGGATGCTTTAGGGGCCGTGGCTGCCCCCGCTGCTCTCCCCAGCACTTCCAGACATTGGGAGGGGCTGCAAGAAGTGTGACCCCAGCTCATTTTGGAGCTGGGATGGCAGCAAGCACCGCTYCCCAGGCACTGAAGGTGCTCGGAAACCTTTCGGCGCTGCAGCCTGAGCGATTCTCCAGCTGCCTTCGGGTAACCCGGGGCCGACCTCCCGGCGCACATGTGTGCGGACCCGGGCACCCTGGCCCTGCTGCCGCATGCGGCTCCTCCGCRGGAGCCGGAGCAGGGGCTGCGGGAAGGGAAGGTAATGGGCCAGAAGATGAGGCTCAGCGTCCTTCACAGCCTCACCGAGTGGGCTGCATCGCTCAGCAGTGCGAGGGGAAGGCGCTGTCGCTCATCCCTGTCCCRGCCACCGATGCCCCATAAGCAGCTCCATGGATTTCCAGGCCCGTGCTGCAGGGAGGCTGCGCTAGGGCCAGCCTGGCTCATCATTGCTCTCCTGGGCTTGTTCACAGCAGTTTTGCAGCTYTGTCTGCCCATGGGTTTGCAGCTACCTGGGAAAGAGCTGACAGATGAAAAGAGCATGAAGAAGGGCAGGGAAGGTGGGAATTC